TTTGAAAAATAATCTTGGAAAAAATGTTGAGTACATTTGCCATGTCAATGATGGTATCCAGAGTTGGGGAAGAGCTGGACCCACCCTTAATGGCGAGAATACTAGCTTTTCTGGAGCCCTGATTAGTGACTTTGCATTTGTGTTAAGTTGTTTGACAACATATTTCAAATGTAATTAGTTCCCATTGCAGTTACCCCACTTTCACAGAGGCGAGAATTATTAATGGAGCTTAAAACTAGACCAGCATGACCTGTAAAGACCTGAACTCACTCTCCCAGGTTATGTATGTGCATGTGGCTTTGGTTGGTCGGTTGCATGGTTGCTGTTGCTTATTTGTTTTTTGGTGTCTTTGTACACACATGTGTGTATATGTAAGTAACTGATGAGCGATATGAGGATTTAACCAATTTTTAAAATGTTATTTTACTGGTTTGCTTCTTTAGTGGAATGGCTCATCAGTGCCTTTCTCTTAAGTGGATTTCTTATTCCTTCAAAGATGCTGTGTTTTCAAAAAAAAATTTTTTTCCCATGTTATGCATAGAGCCCTGGACTCCTAGTTTTAAAATCTGAGTGTTAAGTTTTTTTTCTACTTGTGCAATCCTAGGTACGTCTAGATTTAGGAATGTTTAACAAATTATAAAGAATTCAGTTACATCATTTCTAAGACCCATTTCATTTTGCAATTCTGATTTATTCTAGAGACCTACAAATCATCCTTTCTCTCTTGCTGGGGGAGAAATACACATAAAAAATACAACCCAAAAGTGTTATTTGGGCTTCTCTAGAGAAGCAGAAACAATAGTGTGTGCGTATGTGTGCGTGCATGTAATTGGCTCATGCCATCATGAAGACTGACAAGGCCCAAGATCTGTGGTTGGTAAGGTGGAGACCCAAGAGAGACGATGGTGTAGTTCCAGTCTGAGTTTGAAGGCCTGAGGACCAGGAAAGCTAATGGGGTAGTTCAGGTCCAAAGGCGGGAAGTCTTGATCTGAGAAGAGCCAGTATTTCAGGTCAAGTCTGAAGGCAGGAAAAACCAAGGAAGGCAAAAGGAATAATTTCCCCTTGCTGGAACTGGCCGGGAGGAATCAGTCTTTGGTTCTGTTCAGGCCTTCGACTGGTTAGATAAGGCCTCTCCACATTAGGGAGGGCAGTTTTACTCAGTCTGTCAATTTAAATTTTGAACTCCCCCTGCCCTCCACCAAAAAAAAAAAAAAAAGTTGGGCACCTTGTGGCCTAGTCAAGTTGACATATAAAATTAACCGTCACACCAGACTTTTTTGAGACAGAATTGAAAACGTTTCTTCTTCCTGCCAAAGAGGTGGGCTCAGAATTCTCCCAACAGCCAACAGCTGTTCACCTAGTTGGGTCTGAATAGCATTATTTCATATAAAATCTTTCTCTGGGGGCTTTAGTATTTTTAGGATTTTAAAAGAAATGCTTTTCAACTCCTTCTTCTAGACCCTTTTCTCTGTTTATTTTTCCTGGCAGAGCAAATTGTACTTTCTAGCTCATTGGGTTTCATTCTATTGTGTTCACATTTAAATATTTCCCAGCCACCTGTTGAAAGGGGGCTATAAACTCATAAACAAAATAGTAGACTACACGAGTATTACTACTTTCTCAGTGGCACATCTTGATTCTTGATCTGTGTGGCCATGTCCAGAACTGGCCAACACACAGTGTCGTCAGATCCGGAGTCGCCAGTGGACATGAAACCCACCATCCCTTTGCCTCCCTTCTCTCTTGACATGCCATAGTCTGGTAGCTTCACCTTCCCCAGAAGAAACTCGCCTCTTTAGCTCCTTTGTCACAAATAGGCAGCGTTTCCAGGGAAAGCTGGGAGGCGAATTTAGTACTTAATATTCAAATGTTAAGTATTCATAGGTCCTACCTTCTGGTGACCACATGTCAAAATAGGTCAGTGTAACCAGTGGCTACAGAGGCCCTGGAGAAAGTCGGCCAGCAGGTGTGGAGTTGCTCAAGATCCCCTCTCCCTGTCCCAGATATTATTTCAAAAAGTACCAGACACCTACTCCAATATATTGTCTTGGATCAACTCCCTCGTCATACCAGGAGCATGAAGCTCATGAGGCCTTCATTTACTTTCCTGGAGCGTCTCCAGTTTTTTTCCCCATTACCACTTGATATGGAGTTGGTGGATTATTGAGGTCAGTCTGACTGTGGTTACTAGACAGCTCCAGTCACGATGCCTCTCTCTCTCCTCAACCCCAACTTAGACTGGCCTGAGCAAAATGAGTGTATTAACTCATAACTGAAAAGCCCACGTTAGCATGCATCAGGCATGGCCCAATCCAGGGGTTCGTACACCAGGACACTATTCCCCTCAGCTCTTGGCTCTGCTCTCCTCCAGGTTGACTTCATTGCATAGGGGCAGATTCAAGTTCAGGGAGATCTTGTCTTCCCTTATGGTTTCAGACCACAGGCTATGGTACGAGGGTGTAATATGTTGAGTGCATTTGGACTAAGCACACTTGCCCATCCCACTTCACCTGAAATACATGGCTTGAGAGTTAGGATGGTGCCTCCTAAATAATTTAGGGTGTACCGATATGTGAAAAAGCACAAATGGATGCTGAGCAGAAAACTCGGCAGACATCTGCTTTTTACTCTTTAGGATCCACTGAAGAGTTTTGCACTTGTTAGGTGACACTGAACTACAGTTGTTTCATGGTACAAAATGACTTTGCACTTATACATACATTTGAATTTGTTTATAAGACATCTTATACCCCTCACATTTGAAGTGGCTTATAAAACTTCATATCATGCAAAAGCATTGGAAACAAATAACTAAAGAAATTAGAATAAAGACAAAAGCAGGGTAGGCCCGTAAGATGCCATGGGGATAAGGTGAATCCCACAAATGTCAAAGCCGTCAGCTCCCTCAGGATTGGTAAAAGCAACGTGCGTTTTTGGCTCTGAGGTTCCCAACCATGGAAGAGTATGTAGATCTACAGAGGGTGTGTGTGTAACATTCCCTCCTAAGCCACAAGCCCCTGTGGGAGCATAGGCCCTGGGGAGAGGTCATGAGGAGATGATAAAGATGAGGTGGCCTGTGGTAACCTTGGACACATTTCTTTCCCAAACTCCTCTGGGGCACCTGCTGCCTAGAACTTTCCCCTTTTGTTCTCAGCGTTGTATCAGAAGACAAAACAAGCAGACAAGGATTGAAACTCCTATATTGCTGGGTTCCTTCGGGGAACAGTCGGAGGGTTAAACCTTGTAAACCATGTTGCCTTTGGTGGAAGGCAGTCAGGTGAGTCACCACTGTGACAAGGCGGAATAGGATTACTTTAGTGGTAAAGCTGGGCTAATCTTGCAAACGGACTAATGCTTGCCTGGTGACTCACCGTCATGATGATGAATGAGTGCTGTGGAGACCAGAGACCTCCAGGAGTGGGCAGCCACGACTTTCTCTGTGGTCTGGGCGGCTCTTACTTGGGGGACAGATTTTGGGGCTACTGGCATTGGTGGCTTTCAAAGTTCAGACACAGGGACTGCTGCCACTGGAAAAAGGTCCTGGAGTAGCACCACTTTGTAGGGGATCGTGGTCCCTTTTCCTTTGGGGAGTCCACATGGCCTTTGGACGGTTTTAGTCCACCTGGACAGATCTCCCATGGGAGGACCAGGAAATAGGACAACCATGTAAATTTTTCTAGAAATGTGGCTACTGTTTTATAGATTTGTCTGTTCTCTCCAATGATTTTCTGTCTCCCAGTCTTCAGTACCTACTATGCTCATCCTGCTATTTAGTGAATATCAGAACGTAAGATATTGGTTCTTGTGCTCAGTCTCACTTTCTTCATCCTGAATTCTGTTATTCAGGATTAAGAAGGGTGAGAAATTTGTTCAGGGGATTTTCCTTCATACGAAACTATTATAAACTAGAGCAGAGAAGGTATGCATTCTTTACCATGGACGCAGATATTTTTCTTCTTTACAGACAATTAGAATGGTATTTCTTTGTTGTGAACTTGCTCTTCTCAGACCCCAGGTCACCCTTTACATCCCTACATTTTCTCCCCCATTTATAAAGCAGTAGCCAACATCTGGACAGGCAAATGAGTCTACACAGCAGCATCGTGAGTTGACTGAGACCTGGTCCCTATCCCCCCTCTGCCAATCCCTAGCTGTGTGACCTTGGGCATGCCCCTTAACGTCTCTGAGGCAGTTTCCTCCTCTGTGACATGAGCATGGCAGTACCTACCTCACAGGGTGGTTGTGAGGAGGAGCGGAAGAACACGCATATCCATCCCTATCTATAGCCGCACACGGAGCGGGCAGTCGGTACACGGAGGCAGCTCTCACGACGGGCTCCAGCTGAGTGGGAGTTCAGTGCCGCACATACTTGCCGAGCGCTCAAGGTGTGTGCGGCCAGATCTTTCAAGAGGTCTGCAGGGTCAGTGTAGTTGCTTCTCTCAGAAAAGTTTGCAGTCTGGCAGAGGGAAAAGTGTCAAGACAGATCCCTAAACAGCTGTATGGGTGGGAAAATGTAGGGTAGAAACACCAGTACCACGTGGTTTAAACTAATGGAGGATTCAGTAAGGTAAGTTGAAAGTAAGGGAAATGAGGAGAGAGAGAGAGAGAGAGAGAGAGAGAGAGAGAGAGAGAGAGAGAGAGAGAGAGGATGAATGAATGAATGAATAAAAATGCTAGCTAGCTGTCTTACAGGGGGCCCAGAGGCAGGAATGGCTGTGTCCATCCAGAAGATGATGGGCAGAAGTGGGAATAGTGGGAATGGATATAACAGAAAGGCTGCATGGAAGAGTTCGTGTTTAAGATGTCGCTAGAGGGGACCCCAGCTGGATGGCAGGGAGGTGGAAGAGTTCTGGGTTCCTGTGGGGAACATCGTAATCCTCGCTCGGAGTTTGCGGAAACGTGTGGGTTAGGGCAGAGAGTCAGGCTGGGGCCGCGAATGCCTTGGTGACTGCGCCCCGCTCCCTCCAGAGCCTTACTCTGTTCCCCTTTCTTCCTGGCAGCAATGCCCCCTCCCTTGCTGCACTCAGGGACATGACTGTCAGCACCTCTACCCCCCCTCAGACTTCACTGTCAGCACTCAAGTCTTCAGGGACATGCAAAGGAGCCACTCCTTACAAAAGGTTGGGGAGCCCTGGTGTTTGGAGGTAGGTCTCGCAGCAAAATGACGGTATGAGATGAGCCAGCTCTGAAATGAAACCACCCGTCCAAAGTTTACCTCCAGCTAGGGCAGGGCCCATCTGCCATGGTCCCTGAGTTCCCGCCGGGTCCCGTCATATTGGGTGCCATGATGTCTGGGTGAACTGACCACTGATAGGTTTATCATAGCCATAAAAATGCCAGTTTACAGGAAAGGGTGGAGGGTGGTGCTCCCGTGAACTCAAGGTGCCTGACTCCCTGTAAAGGCCAACAGTGCAGTGTTACGTGGCGCTTCCATGAGAATGACGAACAACATGTTATCCCATTAAACTTGACCCCTAGGAAATAATTTTCTGGGAGTCTTTGTAGCTCCTAGTGGAGGAGAAGTTATCACCTCAACTTCGCCTTTGTTACTAGTTGTTTAGAACTTATAATTTTCCTTTAGAATTCGGGGTGCTGAGAAATGCTCGCTCCTCTGCAGTGACAGCTTCCTAAGGCCGCCGTGAAAGGCGTTTCTCACAGATGTTGCTCTCCAAGGACAGGAAGCATTGTTAATTTCCTTTAAATAATTCAATACGTTGTCAATACCCCGGACTGCTCCATGCTCGGGAGTGACAGTTCTCTTCAAATTAGTCGTCCCAAAGGATAAAGGACATCTAGAACATGCTTTCATCTTCAGAAAAGTAAAAGTCAATGCAGATAAAAATTTTAAAGTAACTCTTTAGATTTAAACAGCAAATGATTTAGTACTGATGCTAGTTTTTTTAAAAAAGAAACGTGAATATTTAAGAGCCAATTAGTAAAGTCCTCTGTCTTTTAAAAACATTTATTGTATACCTGTGCTATGTGTTAGAGTTACAAGGACAAAAGACAGGCCTAGAGTATAGTGTACATGTGTCTTGCCTTGGGAAGGAGAGGTGGACTAAATCATCTTTAAAAGCTTGCTCTAATTTAAGAAGTCATACATACTCCTTTAAGAGAACTGGACACAGAAACATACAGAAGAAAATGCGAACACCCACGATCTTTTTTCCTCGTTTATAATCTCTGAATATTTAGGTACATTTCTTTCTCCCCATTCATGTATCTAAACTTTCAAAGAGCTTCACAAAATTAGAATTGTACACATTTTGTGTTTTCTTTTCACTTGACGTAACACCAAGACTGCTTTTGTACACTATAATGTGTCTTAGTTCTGGGTAGTAACTTACTGGATTGCTGTCTTGTGGGAATCTTCCTATCTAACCATCACCCTTTGGCCAGATGTGAATAAAACCGAGGATGTCTCCGGGGTTTTTGGACTGCCCGCTCCTCTGATGAATCCTGTGTCCAGATTACCTTAGATCCCTGTGTAATGTGTAAAGCCTGTGTCCTTTAACAGCTCAGGGTCTGACAGATCCGGGGTCCCCACTTCATTGCAGCAGCCAGGGCCCGATGGAAGCCTTTTCTCAGCAGCTCCTCCCTGGTCTGGCTTTTAATAAGTGTGGTGGTTCATTCTGACCATGGATGAGAAGGCCATAGTGAACATAGCTGTTCCTGCACCAGGGCCTGGCAGATGGTAACTCACTGATCTTCGTTCGGAGTTATGGAGCAGATAAAGGAGAACCAGCACCCGTTTTGAGTATGAGGAGAAATGAAACAGAAAGACTGGATTTTTGCCTTATTCCTTAAGATCCACAAGCACAGATTAGACCCCCGGCCTGGTTTCCTAGCTTTGCCCTCGAGACACGGAAACGTCTGGAAAGTGCCAGCATGCCCCACTTCCAGGACTGAGTCTACATCCCCGAACTGTGACTAGGCCAGACACAGAGACACCACTCGGGCTTTGCGAACTTGGGCAAGTTACCTAGCTGCTCTGTGCCTCAGTTTTCCCATCAGCAAACGGGGCTCCCGCACGGGCTGTTCTGAGCATCAAGCGAGGAAGCCTGTGAAGCGGGGCTTGGCCGGAGTTGCTGGTGTGCTTGGTCTGTCACAAGCACCCAGCAGGATTCTTAAGGAGTTGTGCACAGGTAATGTGTGCTTGTGATGGGCCAGCCACCGCTGGGCTAGCTCAGTTGTGTAGCAGGCTTTCCATACAGGCTTTGACAGAAATTAGCTGTGTATTATTGATAGTCTGCAGGAACTGGGGTGGCGTGTGAAATCCCCATCCGTGTATGGATGTGCTACGGACGGCTCTGAGTCGTGCGGTGGAAACTGCATGCGATTGGAGTCAGAGCTGGGTTCGAGTCTAGTGTTTCCTGACTCTGTCGGCAAGGTGCTTCACCCCTCTGGGACGCAGTCCTTGAGTGAAAAGAGGATGGCGGTGGAATACCTGCCCAGCCTGCTTCACTGGGCACCTCTGAGGATCCCTTGAAATCCTGATCAAAGAGTGATTTCCTATGGTCCAGGCACTTCTGTAAGTGATTTGCCTATATAACCCTTCACACCCTGAAAACCCTAAGAGGGAGGTGTGGTGATTATTCTCATTTTGCAAAAGATTGCAGAGAGAAGGGGCGGAGCTGCACAGCCGCTGTTACTGAGACTCTGGCAACAGCCCCCGGGTCGCAGCCTTGCACACCGACCACATTTCACTTGCTACGGGGCAGCCGTGTCGGGTTCTGTTCCACACCCAGCCTCCTTGGGAGCCGGAAGGAATCTTCTGATTCGGGACATCCAAAGTCCCGTTTTTTGCTTTACGAGTTATCACATTCTGGATTCGCTCCTACCCCATCCATATTTAGCCTTCTCTCTCTTTCCTTGCAGTTTGACTTGATTCTAAACCTTTAGTTCTCTCCTCGAGGGAATTAGGTTTGTCTACCAGTTGAGTAAATATGAATAAGAAAGTCAATACCCACCTGGGCAGGCATGACTCACTTCTTTCTAGTTAGCTATTCCCGTACATTTTAAAGCTAGCCATACAGAGTCATTACATTGGGGCTATTAACTTGTTTAATAGTGACAATAATAGGGTGTGACCCATGGCATAAATGCGTTCAGATAAGAAAGAAAGTGTTTTTTTTCCTGTAAGTGCTTAGTCAATACCGTTTTCATGGAAATGCTGGCAAACAGTCTTGTAGAAAGCTCTTTGTCCCAGTCCTGCCCGCCTTCCTTCCTCTTCCGAGCTTCTACAGACTCTTTCTGATCAGTGGGGATTAGCAAGATGGCGCACGGTGTCCCTTCCGATGTTTCGATTGACCTGCCTTTTTGCCACTGTTGAGCCTCTTTTTATTTCGTTTTCAGGGTGTGTGTGTAGGCGCATTATTGTTGATATTTGCTTATTAACCTCTCAACTCGAAAAGAAGACTTCTGCTAACTTGGCATAGCTGGTCCCATAGACAGGGAGTTAACCATTTTGGTGAGAGGAAACGAAACTTTTCTTAGGTTTATTAGACCACATCCTATAAATCTGTGGCTTATTCTATGTCTGATTTCTAAAAAAGCATGGCATCACGGCCGAAGTTTTATTTTTGCTCATTACTCATTGAAACAAATATAGATATTGCTTCATTTCCTTGGTACTTTACTTTTCAATACATGTTATGTGTGGAAAATCTGGATTTACACAACAAAGTGCATTAGAAGGGAAGTATTTGCTTTATAAATCCGCATTATAACTGTGGATTAGCAAGCTTTCTGTTAAGCCGAAATGTTTAATTTGTCCTGTCTCCCCGGTGGGGAGCACTGCACAAGTTGCGTCAAGCTGTGTCCGTCGTGCAGGGGACTCTGACATGATGGAGGCCCACATCATGGTCACCAAGCACTGGGGATGTAACTTCACTGAGGTGTTCCTGATTACAGAGAGAAGCAGGATGAGAAAACAGTGAGAACACTCCTGAAGGCAGAGTTCTTATTTTGACATTTTTCCTTCCAGTGTTTTAAAAGATGTTTTAAAAATCATAGGTGGGCTCATAGCACGTATGCATCGTTTCCTGTTTAGATTACATCTCTTGTCATAGAAACACTTTCCTATGTCTGCCACTCTAAAGACTCTTCGTAAAACTTCACCAGTGGTTGTGCGTTCTAGGAGTGGGTTCCCCTCTATGTGCTTAGTCATTGCCCCAGTGCAAACAGACTTGTTTCCAAAGTTTCACTGTGACAGTGCATCGCATCTCATGTGGGACAGGGTGTGAGTTGAAAACAACGAAGACAAAACAGCTCCGGACATTCCAGAATGTCCTCATGGTAGATGTAACCCATGGCTTAGCACATAAGCGTATACAACCCCAGATCATTCTGTGCATGTAGACCAGCAGATTCACCCCCCTCCTCAAATTGATTCTCAGGGCGGGATGTCTGGTGAGACCACCCCTATTATTTTGTTATTTCTCCTTTCTCTCATTCCCTCTTTGCAAAGCTTCTTTGTTGAATTCTTCTGGTTTAAATCAGCCCAGTTTCATTCTATGCCTTTTAACCGCTCCAGCACTATAAATGGACACCTCACTGACCAGCTTCGAATTTCTGACACCTCAGTGAAGTCACATTCCCAGTGCATCGTGAACATGATGTAGTCACCCCCAACTTTATCAGGGTCCCCTGATACATGGCTGACACAGATTGGACATAATTTGCACAGCACTCCCCACTGGGCATGCAGGCCCGGAGGGAGAGGGTCATTCCAAGCCCTGTTTCCCGTGGCGTTTGCCGTTCCTGGGACTGAACGCCGTCCACGCTGTTCTTTTCGCTTCGTACGCTCCCCTCCCAGCCTGCGAAGCTGGTGTAGGAAGGAGGAAACCTCGGTGGCCCGCGTGGAGGTCTGTCCTCCCGGATGAAGGTGGATGTGGTTTCTCCGTGACACCAGGCCTCGTGGGCACCTGACACCCCCTGGGACACCACAGGCTGTGTCAGGGCTCTTATCTCTGTGACCACCTCCCTTTTCCCCATTCTGTGTGAGTCACTTGTTTTCTTTGCATCTCTGTGACAAAGGTTATTAATAGAGAAGACTTGGGCCTTTGATGAGTGACTTGTCATCTGCACAGTTTATTGTTTTGGGTCCTCCCCTTTTGTAATTCTCTGAGGTGACACATTCGTT